AGTTTCCTGTAGGTCTCGGCATCATTAGTGGTGTCCTAGGCTACAGCTTCTATCAAATCTATTTCTTGCCATAAAGACTTCAGTGTTGAGAAGTATACAACTAATGGTTTCTCCCCCTGTCTCAAATTCTTCACATCACTTCTCAACTTGTAAACCCTGGCCACATTTAATTTCTGGGAATAGGTTTTAGCAACACTATCCCACATTTCCTTTGCTGAATTCATCCACAAATAGTGCTGACTAATTTGTGGTTGCATTGAGTTCACAAGCCATCCAATAACAGTATAATTTTCTTGCATCCACTTTTCATATGATGGATCATCTTCCGAAGGAGCCTTTCTGCTCCCGAAGATAAAACTCCATTTGCCTTTACTACAGATATGAATTTTTACTGATTGTAACCAAGCTAGATAATTAGTTCCATCCAGCTTGACTGTGGTCACAGCCAATAGAGAGTCTATAGAGGCTCCCGGAACCTGACTGGATTCAGCAACATGCTTGTTTTCAAATTCTGAAGAGTTCATCTTCTTAAATACTTCGAAAATGACTTCTAACAACTTCGAATAATAACAAATGAAGTCAGAAGAAAAACTGTGTTGTGAGCCAACCTCTATGCAGCCGTACCAGCAACCTGCGTCACACCCGGAAGCCGGGAGAAACAGAGAAAACTCAGCCGCTCCTTGTAGACTTCACAGAACACCAATCCACTTGATTCGATCTTCAAGATGAAGGATGAGAAGGCCTTCAGTCACTAAGCACCCAGGTCAAACTCCCTATGGAGCCCGCAATCAGATTTCTCCAGAAAATTAGAGTTTCGGGCAACACACTTGAATCTGCCAAGAGGACGACAAAACTAGTCCCCTTCTCTCCAGAAACCACTAACAACTGGGCTGAAATAGGTTTTCTTTAACTATTCATACGATTTAGTTCTCCATACACACTGTGTATGGGAAAAAGAGGTGAAAAGAGGGAAAAACAAGCCTGCTCTGATTCCAGAAAAACAGCCTTTTGAAAGGAAAGGACTGTTTAGAAAGTTGCAAAAATTCAAAAGAAAGTAGCAGAAATTAGATTTCAGGAGGAGAGAAGAAGAAGAAGAAGGTGGCGGCAACTAGGGTTCAGAAAGAGAGAGTTTCAAACATAATCTCCTCTCTTACTCCCTTAATTCTATTTCATTAAGTTAAACTTTAGTAATTTACAGAGAGGCCCCTAGTTGGGCAGAAAATAAAAAAAAACATAACATAAGAAAGAATAAAGCCCAGATTAAGGTCCATTACAGCAAAGAACAAAAAAGATAAAAAAGATAAACAGCCTATGGGCCATTCAGCCCATCTTCTCTACATAAAAAAAACTTGGGGAGTACTTTAAGTCAATTTCTAAACAATAGGGGTGAATAAGTCAATTTCCTAAAACTTAGGGGGTACTTTAAGAGATTTTCCCTTCTCTTTATCTTCCTTTTAGTCTTTTAGCCATCTTCTCTTCATTAAATATGTCAATTACTTGTCGTTTTGACTTTTTTCTTTTGTTACTATATTTTTTATGAATTTGAGAATACTCTTTTGTAGTTATATGCATTTTACCTTTTCTTTTGAGTTATAGTGACTTAGTAAGTGAATAATATCAAAATAGTAAGCCTATTGTCCAATCACCAATTCCTTGCAGTTTTTTAGGAAAATATTTTAAAAATTGTAACGATTTTAATGAAATATTGAAAAGTTTTTAATAATATTTTAAAATTTTAAACCTTAAATATATAGTCTATCAATGAAATCTGAAATATCACCAAATATGGTTCTTTTAGGAAAATATGTTTAAAAATTATAATCTTTAATGAAATATCTAAAAGTTTTTAATAACATTCTAAAATTTTACACCTTAAATATATAATCTATCAATGAAATTTGAAATATCATCAACATTATCAGCCAAATATCGGAGATAATTGAAAAAAAAAAGATTATCAAAAAATTTTGTATCACCACTAAATTTATCCCTCAAAGTAAAAGATGCAGATGTCCTTCCATAACAGAGAAAGGAATCGAAAACATCATTGTCTTGATTAACTCCTTGCCAGAAAATGCTTGATATCCCAATTTTCTGAGAAGACCCTTAAAGCTCCAGCTTCTGTAATCAAAGATTCTGTTGGTGTTGATGTTCAATCATATTAGTACAAAATGTGATTTATGTTATATAATTACAGAAAAGAAGGCCAAGTGTTGCTTGTGGATGATGACCGATCTAGATAAGGAAATCCCATATTAGAATACCATTACAAAGAACCCATGCTATACAGGATTTCTTTAGTCCTTCTGGGCACAAGTTTTTTTTTTTTTTTTTGAAAGGTAAGATAAGAATTTATTAATTAAGAAAGAAAAGGGTACAACAACTTCCCCCACCGCACTGGAGAAAGAGGGGAGAACTCATTACAGACTCCAAACTGACTGAGAGTAAAGCATCTGAAATACATTTTGATGCTTAAACTCAGGTCTAACTGACAACCAAGATGCAAGCTTACAAACAGATATCTGTATCAAGTCATCCATACTTTTTACTCTGCTACAGAAAATGCGACTGTTTCTTTCAGATCAAATGGTCACAAGAATAGCTGTAGGTATGGTCCTCCAGATCAGCTTCCCCTTTCTCTTCAGGCAAGTCAGCTTCCAGCAGCAGAACAGGTCCTTGACAGAACTAGGCATGACCCAGTCAACCCCAGCAGCTTTAAGAAAGTGTACCCAAATCTTCATAGCAAAGTGGCAGCAGAACAGGTCCTTCTGGGCACAAGTTCTTAAGATGTATGAGTAACTTAGATACTGAAGAAAAAATTGTTGGTCCTAGCTATCTGGAGTCTTGGGAGGGGGATTGGATATGGTCCTAAGGATCTAACCTTTGGCATTTTTTTGCACAAAGTAGCCCGCTCTCAGACTTGTTTCAAATTTTTGAAAAAACAAAAAAATTAAACGTGGGGCTATTTAAACTCACCAACAACCAATTCAGTTTCCATTTTTTTCAGGAAACTGAATCTAATCACTCCTTTATAGAATTTGGGCATCTTTAACACCAATCTGTTCATCACATGGGTCTCTTGTAGTTAACCAAGATGTTTTGATCCTTAAATTATAAACTACATATAGCATACCAAGGATTCCTCATCATCTTTTCTTTTTGTTCTTCTGTTTGTACCAGATAATGAAATTGCAAGAGAAGAGGATGTTCTACAAATATTCTTGAAGGAAAGACAGTTGAGTGGAGATTTTATATCAAAAGCTTCTGACATACTCTTGAGAAGTGATATCTTGAATTTTGTTGATTCAGATTCTAGTGTGTTGGAAGAGAATCCTCAACAGTTGGACAAGGTTTGATGTGCATTATGATCTTCATTAAGTTGAGTTGTTTTTTTAAGTTTTTCTGGTATGTGTTGACTATATTAACACTTCCACTCACAAAGATGTATTTTAATCTAGATTGCAACACTTTCACTCTTAAAGCCATTTTTTTCTAGAATGTTATATATGGCATCTTATTCCTGTGTAAGCTATACAAACATTATGACCTATTTGAAAAATGATAGAGATTTTTGAAATAGTATACAGAAGTTTCTTCGGAAGACCAATAATATAGAAATGCCATAGTAAGCCTAATAGAGCCTCTTTCCATTGCATTCTGGGTAATTTGCTATGTGTTGCCTACTTTGTGCTCAAGACTTGCCATTATATGTGTACTATCTAGCAAACTAAAAGAATGACAACTGTTTAACCATCTGATATCAATTTTTTCCAGAGCCATCTAGGAGTTGTAAACTGGTAATATTCAACCATTTTCAATTTCCAAACATATATGACAAAACCAAAGCACCATATTTCAAGTTGCTTTTGCCCAGTGTTTTACATGTGTGCCTAGGCTCATGGGTAAGTCTCATTTTTTTGGGTGCTTCTTACCTCAACAGAAGTGTGCCTTGCCTGGGCTGACATGCAATACTCATTTTGTTAGGTATTTCTCACCTCAAACCAAGTATGCATTTCCTGGGTTTGATTTGCATGTTCTTTGATTGTTTGCTTGTTTTTTCCAAATTAGTATGTTGCTTCTTTTAGGCAGCACTTTGCTCCTCAGGCTCTGGGAATACCTCATGCATTAGTTGCGCTTCTTGCTCTCTATGGTGGCATTCACTCAATAATGACCCCAGTTATCTGAATATAGCAGAGTTAATATATGTGGTAGATTCTGTAGCTCCAGATCTATGTTTTTTCCTTTTCTGAAATTAAGCATCCTGACAGTACTTCAGTTAAGTCTTTGGACAGTTAAATGTAATTTCCAACTTCTATCTTAATGAGCCCTGCTTTTCAACCTTCTAGAAGTATATATTCAGTGGTTCATAATGACAATCAATATAATCCCATGGCGAAAATCCTATTAACTGTAACTATTTGCAATTTCAAAATTTATGCAAAACATTCTGACTTCGTAACTTTCCATGCTTAAAATTTCAGTTGGTATTAGTATTGCTTTTACTAATTTAGTGGTGTACAGGGACTTTGATTACTTTGGATTTTATGTAGTGTTTCTGTTATCCTTATGAACCTTTTAAATTGATATATGGATGATTTTGCAAAATTTGACTAAGATTTTGGCACCTTATGTTGCAAAATTTAACTAATGCACTAGATTTGTGTGAAAGAAAAGTATCATCTACTTGCCGATACTATTTTTATGTCTTCAAAACTTTGTAGGTCATGGAAAATAAAAATGATGGTGGTTTTCTGAAACTGACCAAAACCCAAGAGTGGGTGTCGGGAGACACTAGTGCACCGATAAATAAGAAAGCCATGGCCAAGGTTTGCTATTAGGTGGATTGCAATTTCCTTTATTAATCATATATAGCCTTGCTTTTTTGCCTAACACTGATGCTGTCCAAGAAAGAAACTTTGAATATGTAACTTTTTGATATATTCAATGACAGGATTTGCGTAATGATAGCGAAAGAAGGAAAAAGCTAAACCTTCTCAGATATGAAGCTGTATGATTTTTCTTTCTGATTCAGTATTTCATTCATTTCTAAAATCTATTGCCTTTGATTTTCTACTTTTCTTTATTTTTTGTTGGCTCTTAGTAACTTCTATGGCACGTCTTCCAATTGAAGAAAAGGCCATTCAAAGCAATGTCTGGTGCTTCTACAATGATAAACTTTCCTTCTTCATTCTTGTATATTTGCATAATGTGATGCTTACAGGTTGTGGATATTGCGTTGGATTTAGAATTTGATTTCATTGGTTAAGCATCTCAAGTCATTGGTTTTGGGTTCTCATTTTTTTTATTTGTATTAACTTATTAGGTATAACTGATATTTTCCTACAAAAATCTGTCATTTCAAGAATAGCCCAGAAGCATCATAAGGATATAAGCATTGTTGGGAAAATACGAGGATTGACTTTCACTTGCCTCACCTTTGAAAGAGTCGCTTCCCTTTGTGAGTGAACTCACGAACATGTATTTTAAAAATTATTTTATAATTTCTAAAACATAAAAGAAAAATAGGAAAAAAATCACGTGACAAAGAAAAATAGTAATGAGTTCAAAACAAACATAAACTTTTATTGGGCTACAGATGCAAAGAAGAATAAACAAATAAGAAATTCCAAAAATTGTTTCAAATTGTAGATTATACTATGAATTAAACCAAAAAGCAAATTATGTTTTCCTGTCATAGATCATAAATGACAGTCATTATGTTCATCATATGTATCTCAGACTCAATGTAGATACTTTATATGAGCCAATCCACAAGCACATAATGTGTTAAAACCCAAAATTGCACACCTGGGTGTCAATAACATGGATTCTAAGCAATTAAACAACAATAAAAAATCAGAGAAGCCTCTTTCAGTGTACAGAAAGATAGTCTATTAAGTTAGACTTTCAATTAGTAGCAGTTGAGTAAAGCATATAAAATGCCAGAAGGGAATTCAGCTTCCTTTGCAAGAGCTGAACTTCTCGCTGCCTTGTAAAGAAAGATGTCTTTAGTAAGCAAGGTTTAAAATGTCATTTCAGTGGAAATGTCAGTCATCCAAAAATAGGAAACATGTCAGAAATGTCGGAAATATTGTATGGAGATATTGTAAAAATTATAAACATGGTGGAAACATTATGAAAGATGCAAAATTATAGAATGATGTTTTATTAAATGATAAAAGAAGTATAGGCACACCTTAAATTATTATCTTGTTCCAAATGATTAAACAAAGCTAATGAACTAATGTTATAAACAAAATAGTACATTGTGAAGTTGTCTTGTAAACCTTAAGAGTCAAAACTACAAGATAAAATGAGTTCAAGCAAAACTTAAACGCATGAAAAAATGGAATTAATTCTAATAGATCAACCAAATAATCTACTACACAAAAAAAAAACTAATATTTGACTTCATTTTTGAAAAGAATATTGAGACTTACTCATATGATGATATCAGAAGAAAGTGGGGGGAAGTGGCTGCATCATCATCAAGGAAGAGTAAAAATGTAAAATACAACAAGAATCAGAGCCACCTGAAGGTAATTTTATAAATATAAATTTTAATGCGAGTAGCTTTGGTAATCCAGGCCCCTCAGTGTAGGAGGGGTTTTTAGGGACAAGAAAGGTAATATAGCTCTGTTTTTGGGTCTGGTTGGCTTAGGGGACTCTACAAGAGATGAACTTCTCGTTGTTTTGTTTGATCTACAAAAGGCAAAAGAGATAAGACTAGAGAGGGTAATTATTTAAGGGGACTCGTAGGTAGTGGAATGCTGGATTAAAGTTTAAAGATGAGAAGAAAACAATTTGGATAAATAAAATTAAGTGGTTAACAAGGGACATGGTGATAAGAACTTGTAGAGATGATGGACTGAATTGGCCATAGTTTCTTTTTTTTTTGTTTATGCTTTATATCTGTGATTAGTGGGCCTTAATTATGGACCTGTTTTATTTCTTTTATTATTGCTTTTAGTGCTGGCTGTCCTACTAAGGGCATTCATGTAATTGTATTCTTTTTACAATTAATGCATAAAATATAGTTGTGGGGGATTGGATAGGTGTTCAATTGACTCTCTTCCTTTCTTCCTTTTCTTCCATCTTCTTCCTCTATAATTTCTCTCTTCATCTTCTTCAATCTTCCTCTTCTTTTCTACTTTATTTCAAATATTTTACAGGTGGGATTTACATCTTGGTATCAGAGTAGAGTTCCTACTTTCTTCCTTCTTCCTTCTTCCTTCTTCCTTCTTCCTTCTTCCTTCTTCCCTTTTTTAATCCCATGCGCAGGTTGTATGGAGAGTTGATTGGTTGATTAATTAGCAATTATTCAGCCCAGTTAGAGGAGGTTTTTGGAGAAGATTGCAGTGCTTGTTTGAGGCCCAAGGCAAGTTCTTGGAGAGTTTCCTGTTAACCCTAGTTAACTGGAGAGCTTTTAGATTAAGGGGTATAGAGGGAGTTTGGAAGTTGCGCTTGGGCCTAGAATAGAAGTTTTCTAAGTATCTTTGAGAATGATCCAAGTTGGAGATATTTTTGGAGCCTTTGGTAGGAGCAGTTAGACTTTCTCTGTCTTCTTCTGAGTACCGAGTTGTAGGGTCCAGTAAAATCCTATTTTTGGCTGTTTGAAGAGCAGTTTTGGCCTTAGGGTAGTGAATCTTGACTAGTAACATTTTTTTGGAAAATGGTAAAGTATTTTATTCAGCATATTGAAGAGAGATACAACAGGACCCAGACCACTAGATCTGTCTGGGCACAATGCAAATTACATGCTCATCCAAGATTTAGAGCAAAACAAAAGGGATACATTCTGGTTTTTAAATTCCTCATTCACTGACACCCAGGATCATAGCTTCCCTACTACTCTCTGCACAATTTCATCCAGGCTTTTAAATTTACCACAGAAGATTCTGTTATTCCTTTCAGTCCAAATGGACCAAAACACAGCTGCCAGGATGGAACTCCAAACAATCTTTCCTTTCTTGCTGAGATCCTCAACTCTCCAACCCATCAGCAGCTCCTTCACAGATTTTGGCATGGTCTAGCTAATCTCCAAAACCTTAAGAAAATGCCCCCAGATCAAAGAAGAAACCGGACAGTGGATGCACAAGCGCTCTATAGTTTCTACACTCTTTCCACATAAACCACAAGAGAGATCCAGGAGCTGAATACCTTGTCTCTCCACATTAGTCTTGGTCAGACATTTATCAAGGGCCATAGTCCAGACCAGAAAATTGATCTTGGAGGGACTAGTTGGATTCCAAACCTGTCTAACAGGGAAATTCTCATGACCTGAACCACACTTCAGAAATAGGGATTTGACTGAAAAGCTACCATCTGCATTCCACTTCCAAACCCATTCATCCTATGAGTTCGAATCAATCATCTGATTTTGGAGCAGCCCCAACAACTCCCCATACTCTTCCACCTCCCAGTAAAACAAATTTCTCCTACAAAGAGGAGTCCAAATGATAGAATCACCTGAAATGCTAAAATTTTCAGCAACTGAAGAATCTTGATTCACAGAAATTTGGAAAAGAAGGGGAAAAAATCAGCCAGTGGACCCACTAAACACCAGGGATCCTTCCAAAATTTGATTCTATCCCCCTTACCAGCTTTAAATCTGATCCCATCCAGAAAGAAAGGAGTGCTCTTCAAGATACCTGCCCAGAGGGATCTTCCCCCATTAAGATTATGTTCCTTACATCTCCACTCACCCCATTCCACACCATACTTTGCCGCAATAAGGCTTCTCCACCATGCATTCCTCTCAGAAGCAAATCTCCATAACCATTTGCTAAGAAGGGCAGAATTAAATTTCTTCAGCTTTCTTATTCCCAACCCACAAGCTTCCTTAGGGAGACAAACTTGATCCCACTTTACAATGTGAATCTTCTTTTCATCCTCCCAACCCCTCCACAAGAAATTCCTTTGGAGTTGCTCCATTCTATTTGCAATTTTGTTTGGGATGGGGAAAAGAGAAAGGAAATAAGTAGGTAGGTTGGAGAGAGTACTCGTAATCAAAGTAACCCTCCCCCCAAATGATAGATATTTTGCCTTCCACAAGGCCAGTTTCTTCTCCATTCTCTCAATAATTGAGCACCAGATTGAAGAAAAAGAAAATTTAGCCCCGAGAGGCAGTTCTAAATATTTTACCGGGAGGGGATCAATTTGACAAGCCATCACATTTGCACATTCTTCTAAATTTGAAACATGGCCCACTGGGATGATCTGGCTTTTATTTAGATTAACTTTAAGACCAGACACCACTTCAAACCAACTCAGAATCCCAAGCACTGATTCCAATTGAGTCACAGAGGCATCAACAAAACATAAGGTATCATCTGCAAATTGCAGGATATTTACCTTTTCCTTTCCAGGGGAGATTGCAAACCCATTCCATAAACCAAATTCTGCAGCCTTTTTACTAAAAAGGGTGAGAATTTCCATGACACAAATGAACAACAAAGGGGACAGAGGGTTTCCCTGCCTCAAACCCCTAGAGCTACCAAAGAAACCCGTAGATTGACCATTAATTAGGAGTGAGAATTTTGGTGTCTTAATACAAACTCTGATCCAATTTCTCCATTTCTGACCAAAGTTCATTCTGTCCAGCACACGATCCAGACAATTCCAGTTGATGAAGTCATATGCTTTCTCAATATCAAGTTTACAAATCACACCCGGAGTTCCCTCTCTTCTTCTAGAATCAATTAGCTCATTAGCAATTAGAATTGAGTCCACCATCTGACTAGTAACATCATATTTTATTTTTGTTTGTTTTCGTTTGGCCAATGGAGCAAACTAGAGGTGAGATAAAACAACCTATAGAATATAGACTTAGGGTAGTGAATCTTGACTAGTAACACCCTATTTTATTTTTGTTTGTTTCCATTTGGACAATGGAGCGAACTGGAGGTGAGATGAAACAACCTATAGACGTTGGGTTTGGCCTAGGATGGTTTGTGGAGACTCTATTGGGGGCAGTAGCCTCAGTGAAGTTAGATGGGACTAATTCATCTAGCATGGTCTCAAGTAAATAAGATCTATGTTTGTAGTAGAGGGGAATGGGGGTGCATCACTAGGAGTAAGAAGCAACTTTAGAAGGATAACCCTGCTTATGAAAGGTGGATGCATGAAAACTACAATTGTAGGCTAGCTAGTAAATTCCATTCAGCCTCATATCAACCAACATTATTTGTGGACAGATATTGCAAAGGAGGTGTGGGGCAGTGCCACAGAAGCTTATTCCTAGAACTTGAATGTTGTTAGGGATTACAAGCTAAAGAATGATGTGAATAATCTAAGATAGGGGGAGAAGCCTTTAGTTGTTTACTTCTCTATGTTGAAATTTCTTTAGCAGGAGATTGACTTGATGGGGACTGTTGTGTGGCTAAGGATGCTAAGACTCATAGGAAGTTAGTGGAGAGGAATCAAGTTTTTGAGGAGAGTAGGAGACAAGTGCAGGTTGTAGAAATCTCAATTGATCACTTTGCCCATGTTGGAATGAAACCAAGGGCTACCACTAAAAGGAAAGATGTAGTTTATGCGTATGCAAGAAACCTAAGCACACGATGGATACCTGCTGGAAGCTACATCCAAAGCTTATACCTCTTAGATTCAAGAACAATAATAATGGTAAGAAGAATGGGAGTGGGAAAGGTGGCAATGCCAATGTAGCCACTAGCCACCTCTTCTAAGGATGAGAAAGGTTTCAGTGATGAAAAATCAATGGGGGAATAGCTTGCAGCCACCATAGCAGATTATGAGAAGTATGGCTGATTCATTAACCACTTAGAATCTATTGATGCAGCTACTACCTCCTTAGGAAATGATTTTCTCTCAGCCTATACCCAAGTCAGTTATAGAGGCCTTGTCTAAGCCAAAATGGAGGGAGGCTATGAGAACTGGAATAGAAGCACTTCAAAATAATACTTGAGATAATGTAGATTTCCCTCACGGGAAGGAACCAATGGGATGTAAGTGGGTGTTCACCATCAAGTATCATGCTGACGGTACTATTGAGAGGTATAAGGCCTGACTAGTTGCCAAGGGTTATAATGGAGTTGATTATATGAATACTTTCTCCTCAATTGCCAAAATGACCTCAATGAGAGTTTTTTTGTCTTTGGTAGTGAGTTATGACTGGCCGTTACACCAGTTTGATGTTTAAGAATGCCTTCTTAAACAACCTTTTTAAATGGCCGTCATATGTCACTTTCTCCAGGCATGCATGCTAAGGAAATGCGGGGCAAAGTGTGCAAATTGAAGAAATCCTTTTATGGCCTCAAGCAATCCCCTCCAGCTTGGTTTGATAGATTCCAGGCTACACTTGTTGAGTTAGGTTACACTTAGACATAGTCTGACCATACCCTATTTGTTAAGAGGAGAGGTACTTGGGTTACCTTCCTTATTGTTTATGTTGATGATATTGTGGTTACAGGCAGTGATATGGAGGGAGTTCAAGCACCCAAGAGCTTCCTTAATTCAGAATTTAAAATTAAGGATTTAGGGGAGTTGAGGTATTTCTTAGGAATTGAAGTTGCAACATCTAAAGATGGTATTTTCATCTCTCAATGGAAGTATGCGTTAGATCTTACTGAGGAAACTTGGTACCAAACCTGCCTCTACATGTTATGTTTATGTATTTCAATTTGAGATAATAGGTTTTTTAAAACATTTAATTTAAAGCCTAAGCTTATATTTTAATTAATATTGTGTTTATATTTTCCATTTTTTGAAAATTTTGGCACTTTTTGTTTTTTTTTTGGGCATTTTTGTGCCTTGCTTCAAAAGGGCATGTGCCTTGCCTTGCGTTTCACACCTTAGCCACAAGTGGCCCTTGCGCTGTTTTTTGCGCCTTGCACTTTTAAATCCATGATCCCATTAGCCTTCCATTAATATATTCTAAGATAGATAAATTACAATATAACCTTTGGCTAGAACAAAGACTAAGATGCCCTTACAGATTAGCTGTCAATGTTGTACATAGATAAATTTACCTTTCTTGATTGGACAGAAAATAATGAACTTGTTTTTGGCTGCACAAAATGCAACAGTATTCTAATTGTTTCTTCGACAAGTTTTAATATGAAGAACCCTGCAGAATAAGGAGGAAATAAAAAAGAGGGAAAAAGAACAAAAGAATGGAAGAAAGAACAGATTATAGAATTCAATTGACTGATCACATTGACCTCAAAGGTGGTGGTTGTCGTGGTTTATAATGAACAACTTAAAGAAATACAAAAAGATACCAATACCTCTAATTAGTGATTTGTCTTAAACTAAAAGGTTTACCCCTGTTACACACTATTAACATAAAATACAAAACATGAAACAGGAAGCTTGGAACTCCTAAGAAAGTATGATGTTATTCTGTGATAAAATTAATTTCACTTTGTTTAAGATTCAATGATGCACTCAATGGTGTTACTTTAATATGTTCTTTATCTTCACTTAAATTATATTATGCTGCCTATCCATGTCATCAAACTTAAAGAGGATAGAATTATGAGATGATTTGAGTTTGCCGATAATGAACTTTCTTTATCTGTTGTCTTTCAGCTTAAAAGGGAATTGGTGGTTCTAACATCTGGAATTGGAATAGCATGCAGTGGATATTGTCTTGTAGTATTTTCTGTCCAGGTGAGATGTTCAGAAACAAAAGACAAGCTTCAGTCGTTGAAGCATTTTGTACTATGATATATATATTTTTTGATAAATGACATTTTGCTATATGTATTGGCATTCAAAGTAACATAATTTTCATGGTTATTACCTTCCACTCTATATTTGTTTTTTTTTCCAATTGAGATATGTTATGTTGATGGTATTTTTTAGGTGAACAATAGAAATGGTGTAGCGATAATAATAGATAAGGATTTAAAAACTGAATTTGTAAATGTTAAAAGAATTGGGGATATAATAATTTTAATTAGCTTGTTTTAGGTGAGTATGCACCTCAAGTGGGTTAGAAGAAACTATTAAAAGACAATTTTGGGAAAACTTAGAAAGATTAATCCAGGAGATTCCAGATGAAGAGAAGGTTTTTATAGGAGGAGACTTAAATGGGCATGTAGGGAAAAGAAGTGTAGACAAGTTGATAATGGAAGGGAATTGAAATGTAGATGGAAAGATTAATGGTATTTAGCTTGAAATGGCAAACAATATAAAGAAAGTAGCAAAGGAGGTCTTAAGAGAATTTAAAGGGAAATGGAAAACTAATAAAGAAACTTGGTGGTGGAATGAAAGGGGTTTAAAATATAATCAGATTAAACTGAGCATGTTACAAAGAATGGCAGAAAGTTCAAAATGAAAAAAAAAATGGGAAAAATACACAACCATAGGAAGGGAAGTTAAAAAGAAGTGAATGAAGCTAAATGTAGGGCTTATGATGAACTTTACCATAAATTAGGCACTAAAGAGGGAGAAAAAGGAATGTATAAACTAGCAAAGCTAAGCGAAAGGGAAAGCAAAGATTTAAACCATGTTAGGTGCATTAAAGATGAAGATCAAAGAGTCTTGGTAAACTACGAAGAAATCAAACAAATATAGAAAAACTATTTTGAAAAATTATTAAATGAACAACAAAGAGAGGGTGCTAACGAAGGAAAAAGCTAGCAATAGTAATAGTGTTAAAAATAATACATACCTTAATAGAGTTAGACTTATTGAAGTAAAAGAGGCAATAAATAAGATGAAGAAGGGAAAGGCATTAGGACTTTATGGGATTCAAATAGATGTGTGGAAAGGTGTGGGAGAAGTAGGCATGCTATGGCTAACTAAGCTATTTAATAAGAGGGTAAAAGAAAATAGGATGCCTAATGATTGGAGAAACAATAGTATGGTGCTGATATTTAAGAAAAAAGGTGATATACAAAGTTGTAATAACTATTGAGGGAATAGGGATTAAACTCATGAGCTACACTATGAAACTTTGGAGACCAAGAGATAACTCAATGTGACCACTTCTAGTACCTTGGTTCAATAATTCAAAACAAGGGAGAGATTGAGGAGGATGTCACCTAGAGAATTAGAGCAAGTTGGGCAAAATGGAGGGGTGTGTAGGTATATGTTGATCACCATAACCGTGATAGCACAGAGGGTGCCAAACTTGTGCCACAAAGGCAACCACGACGAGTCCAGGCAAAGTTGTCAAGGCGACGCCTAGGCAGGTGCCTAGGCGACAAAGCGCCCTTTGAGGCTCGCCTCGCCTAATCGCCTAATAGTTTTCTACTTCCTACTATAAAATACTTTTTTATTCATTCTTTTTTGAGATTATAATTATAAAATAGACACTATTAAACTAAAGTAATCATTTTTTGTGTTTATATACTAATTTTTTTTATTATTTTCTTATTTATTAGGGTTTAATCAACACAAACATTGCTAAATGCTGTATTGAACCATCAAAGACTTGAAAACCTGAACCAATAAGGAAGAACTAAAAATTTTATCTAATCATCACATTTTCCTCTTTCATATCTTCTTCTTTCACATTTTCCTCTTTCTACTACTACTACTACTACTACTACTTTAATATGAAATTTATACTTTTCTTATTTTCTTTCTTCCTTTTCTTCTCATGAATATGTTGATTTTCTATACTTTAATATGAAATTTATACTTTTCTTATGAAAATCATGAATAATTATTAAAGAAATATGGTTATGGTACCTAGGGAACTACCCTACGATCTATGTTTTTAACATAAAAACTAATGGGAATCAAACACTTTTAGCTCCTTTTCGGGATCTCTTGATCTCTCCCTATAAATAGAGGTCCAACTCATAACGAGATCATCATTCTATCACTCTATTCGCCCTAGCCTTTAGCCTACCCCCTGCTCTCGGCTTTCCTTTGTCCTTCAAGGAGACCCCCATACATAGCCTAACCACCACACTCACAGGGTACATCTGGACTTTTGTGTGATAGGAGAATATCATTTAGATTAAAAGGAAAATTCTATAAAACAGTTGTAAAGCCAGTTATGTTGTATGGTATAGAGTGTTGGGCAGTCAATAAACGACATGCTTAGAAAAAGTGTGTTAGAAATGTAGATAATTCTATGGGCAACATCCCCCTCAATCTCTTCCTTGTTATGGATTACCGAACTACAATAAGAAAAGAGGTCATATTGAGATATCTCTTGGTCTCCAATCCTAAGTTTACCCTGATTTCCACTTCTATTATTCTTAAATTGACACTGCATATTTACATTCAAACATCAAAACACACAATCTAAACCTCAAAAATCAGAACAGTAGAGGCCCTTATGTCTTCATAGAAAAGGTTCGACTAATCACCTTACAAAAATGAAAAATAAATCCTGGTGTGGCCAAGCACTAGAGGATTCATTTTTATAATCTAATAAGAGCAAGAAAAAAGAAAGGTATGGAAGGATTGATATGATCTAAAGGCAGGGAGACCCAACAGGTGCCAGTTCTCGAGATATGGGCCAAATCTCATATTGAATTCCACCTAGAACCTCAGATTCTACAATTTCAGGTTTTCTTCACAAATCATAGTTTTTTGTATTTGTAGCTACTTGCTAGATGTTCCGAACCATTAAGATGAAGGTAAGTCAATAGATGGTTGTGTCTTGTGCAGAGATGATTAATGACTGTACTAGTGAGAAGTGACTTAGTGCAAGTAGAAAGCTATAAAAAGCAAAGAGAATAAAGGATGTGGTTTGAAGTGGTGGAAAATGATCTGAATGCTTACAATTTGACAGAGAACATGGCTCTTGATAGAAAATCCGAAATGGGTAGGAGCAAAGATGAATTGAGTCGACATACCAGTCCTTCGCC